GCTAGATATTTGCACCGAATAGCACCAAAATTTGTCACTTTTATAAGTATCTCACTAACCCAATTATACCATTGGCCCCCTAATTATGTGTTCTGATATAATTTTGTCAGTCCCCATTTTTCTTGAACTTTTACCAGCATCTGATACTATCGACCACAGCTTCCTTCATGGTAATCTCTCCATTTTTGGTTTAGAATCATAGATGTTTATAGTTAGAAGGGAACTTAGTAGTCTTGTAATCTAATTTCCCACATTATTAATAAAATACTTCTATAAAATCCTTGACCTGTAGCTAACTGGCCTCTGTTTCAACACTTGCATTGATGGAGAGCTATCTCAAAAGGCAACCCATTCCATTTTTGAGGAGCTATAATTGTTAGAAAGTTCTTTTACTGAACTCAAATCCATTTCCCCATTGTTTCTATCCATTGGTCCTAGTTCTTTTCTTTGTAGCCACACGGTATAAATTTAATCTCTTTGCCATGTGATGGGTCTTCATATTAGAAGAAAGCTATCATGTTTCCTCTAAGTTTACTTTTTTTTACTTTTATCCATGCTAAATATCCGTAGTTCCTTCAATTGTCTTGTATGACAGCTGCTAGACCCATTGCCATCTTGATCAGCCTCCTCTTTGGGTAAGCCATTTAGTAAAAGTCCTTAAAATATGGCAACCAGAACTGAATATTAGCAATATTACAGAGGTTGTCTTACCTGGACAGTGGGATTATCAGCATCTTTACTCTGTACTTCTTTTAGTGAAGCCTGAAATTGTATCCCTTCTCCCTTTTTAAAAGCACATTTCTCACACCATTATGGCTAACTAAATTTCTCAGTATTTTTGCACAAAATGCTGTCAAATTAGGCATTTCTCATTCCAATCCACTGACCTATGCAATTAGTGATACACTCTGATCATGCCACTTCTCTACTATAAAACCCTCAGTAACTTCCCATTGCCTATGACATAAAATATAAATTCTTGTTCCTGGCATTCAAGACCCTCTGCAATATGGTTTTCACCTTCCTTATAATTTACCCACTCACCATGTCCTAGCCAAATTCAATGTACTTTTTCCATTTGGCCAATTGTATTTTTTAAGGATTTGTTTTCTACAGCTAATTTTTGTCCTTCCTTTTCCAAGCTATTGCCTTTCTCTTGCATACCTTTCATTTCTTTTCCCAATTTTTCTTCTACCACTCTTATTTGACTTTTAAAATCCTTCTTGAGTTCTTCCAAGAAGGCTTTTTGGGTTTCAGACGAGTTCATAGTGCCTTTTGAGGTTTTGGATGTGGGCATGTTGACAATGTTGTCCTCTTATGAATTTCTGCCTTCATCTGTCCCCATAATAAGAATCTATGGTCATTGCACATTTCTTTTTGCTCATGGTGTTTGCTTATTTCCTGACTTTTAAAAAAACTGAGCTCTTCCATTGGGGAGCAGGGGGCACTGACTGAAGCTTCTTGTGCTGGGGCCTCAGGTGCTGGCAGTTGGAGGCTGTAGGGTTCTGGAAGCTTACCTGGTATTGGGCTGGAATTAGCAACACTGGAACTCTAGGGGTAGGGGTGGGGAGTTTGGCTCCGGAGGATGCCTGCTAACCCAGGCCTTGTGCTCCTTTCTTTGGATCCTGTTCACTTGGGCCTTGCACAGGGATGTTTTACTGCTGCAGGATGTCTCTCAGCCTGGAGCTTTACCTCTTGGAGTTGTGCTTCCCAGAGTTTTGCTGAGGCACTGAGAGACTTGGCTGCTGGAAAACACCATGGCATGTGGTGGTTTTCCAAGCTGGTTTCCACTGATTCCCCTGCCTGTACTGAGGCACTCGGGGGTCCTGGTGTTGGTATTTGCCTGCTCCACCACCCTGGGGTTCAGGATCTCCCACTGATGTGCTGAGGTGGGGATTTCCACTAGCTTGCTGAGATGCCACACATTCTATACTGCTCCCCCTCCCCCAGAGCAAGAGGGGCCTTTCCCATTAATCCCCCAACCTTCCTAGGCTATAAGACTGCTGCATCCCATCTTTCTGCTGGTTCAGCTGTTCCAGTGTTTTTCCTGAGGTGATATTTTCTGGGCTTTCAGAGGCCAGTAAGAGAACGTGAGAGCAACTTACTTCTTATTCAGCCTTCTTGGCTCCCAGAAGCAGAACTGTCCACAAAATTCAATTATTACCTATTTTCTGTTCTCCTGCCTTCCACCTTTGTGCATATTGTCCACCATACTTCCTTCCTCCTTTCCCACCATCTCCTGTTTAGGTCACTTCCTTCCTTCTTCAAGACCTAACTCAGTGTCACCTCCTCTGTGATGCCTTCACTGATAACCCCCACCGCCAGCCCAGGTGGAATTGATTTCTTCAGATTCAAATTTCTCATTAGAAGACACTGTGCAAAGAGATACATTGTGTAGATATATAGAGGGCATATTGTTCTACCATTAGATTATAAAATCTTTGAGGTCGGTGTCTGTGCCATATTCATCTTTCTTTCTTCAAACCTTGTAATAGTTTTTCACACATAGCCAGTTCAATAAATGTTTTAATGAATGCTCTTTCCCTCTACAAATAGCTCGTATTTTATTATGTGCGCATTTGTATCTCTCTAGTAAAACCCTTCCAGGGACTTATTTTTGTCTCTTTATCCCCTGTGCCTAGAACAAAGTTTTATGCATAGTAGGTGCTCAATAAAAGTTTGTCAAATTGAAGTGATTGAATGAGTGAATTTTTTCTCAGTCTAGATATGGGATATTGTATTTATCCCAGTTGTACATCTTCTTGTCAATATTGGTATATTATTCCCCCATATTGATATATTTTGAATCTTTATTCATCACCCATCATCTAATATATTAGCCATTCACCCCAGCTTTATGTCATTTGTGAACTTTATATTCATTTTTTAATGCAAATCATTGATAAATATGCTGAATAGTATAGACCCAAGGAGATATTAAGAAAATTCCTACTAACTTCAATTATCCTGGCCTAGACAAATCACAATACAAGCTACTGAAAAAAATCCCAAACAAACTTGTAGGTATGATTATAGAACTACTGTCAGTAATTCTGAAGTTCTGAAGAATAAGATAGGACACTAGAAATTATCAAATGTCCTGATTTTCAATTACAGAAAAAAGATAGACAATAGACACAAGAAATTGGTAGTCTTCATATTGGTCCCTTGAAAAATTCCAGTCAAATAGGTGACCTGTGAGAACTCATAAGAAAGTGTTGATCCTTAGAAACCAGCATGAGTTCACTAAGAGCAAGCCATTCCAAACAAATCTTTTTTTTTTTTTTTTTGGTATCACAGAGTTGCTATACTGGTAGATCAGTGGAATGCTATTGCCATGGCATATTTTAATTTGAATAAAACATTTGTCAGTCTTTCACGATGCCCCTGTGGACTTTTGTATTATCTCAAAAATATATTATTTCATCAATGTGGTTACTCTCTTCATCAATGTTAGATTGCAACACCTTAGCACATAGTTTAATAAGTAGCTATGCTAGAAGCCACATCATTTGGTGGCCAGCAACCTTTTATGCAGAAAGCACTCAAAATCTATATCTCTAGTACTGTACTCTTATCCTGTTAAGGACCAGAGAAAATTCTCAACTCTAGATCCGTTTGCCATGGGGAAACTAGACACTTGGGAATGCATCTCATTAACCTGATGAACATTCAGCTATTTACAATCCTCTAGCTTTTGGTATTCCATTAGAATTTCAGGCAACTCACCCAATACCCCCAAACCTATCATGCAGAGTTGAAAAATCCAGTCCAATAAGTATTTATTAAATACCTACCAAGTATAAGGTACAGTGAGTGATAAGCACAAGCAACACAAAGACAGCTTCAAGGAACCCATCTCCATTTGTCTGGATTACGTCCTGTTGTCCTCCAATTTGAAGTTGGAGAAGGCTTTCCTTCAAAATAATCCTGTTCTCTATAGAGTAGAATTGTGATTGACAGTTTTTCAAGGGATAGCACTTGACAGCAGAACTCTAGTGGTGCCACTTGAACATCTGGGCACCCGCTGTCTTGATTTGGGTTCTGTTCCTCCCTCGTACTGGATCAGTCTTGGAATTTTTGACACTGATGCTGGCATCTTTCCATAAATGCTCTGTCAGCCCTGCCACCTGTCTTCCTCAGTTTCCACTCCACTTGAATCGTTGGTATGAAACTTTACTTAATTCATCACTGCCATCCTCTTCCTAGTTTCTCCTTTAGGCTTCTATGTCTGACTCCTTGATACAGAAACCCCTTTGGCATTTGGCTCCAACCACCAGCATCCTCTGCAGGTTAAATATACTAGTTACTTGCAGTCCTTAGAAACAGGGGTACTCATGTTTTCCCCAGACTTTTGGCAAAACCCACTTCTCTTAGTCCACGTGGTTTAGCTATACTTCCTTCTCAATGGTACACTGTTTCTATCCCCTATATTTGTCAAAATTCTACATATTTTCAAGGCCCATGTCAAGTCTCACCTTCATGGAGTCTTCCCTCACTAAATCAACTCTCTTAGCTCTTAATACACTTGGAGTCTGAACTACACCACTTAGTTTTTTTCTAAATGCTGTCTTGTGCTGTTCCATGGGCTGTTTCATTTCTATCCAATTAAGCTGCTTGAGAATAGGAACGATGTGGTGGTACTTAGCAGGGTGGTATTTAATAGGTACTTAATGAATACTTCTTGGATTGAATTAAAATGATTTGATTTAAATTGAGAAGGAAACAAAATAGTGGTTTAAGAATCAGTAGACCTGAATTCTAATCCCAGCCCTTCCCACTGACTCACAGTGTGGCCAGAGGTAACTCATTCAACATGTCTGGGCCTCAGTTTCCTCATCTGTGACATTAAGGTTTTGGCTTAAATGATCTTCAAGGTCCCTTGCAGCTCTAAGATTCTATAAGTTTGTGACTGTGATGTTTTGTTTTGAAATAACTATCAGACTCATCTTACTCTCTCTTGTAATTTCTTTCCACAGAAGCAGTTATAAAGGGGAAGCATGGAGCTCAGAAGGGGAAAGACCTTCATCAAATCCAGTTTACAAATTTCCAACGAGAAACCAATAGTGGCAGACGCTGCCGTCCAGAGTAAGGAAGCTGGGGCATTCAGGCCAAGGATAGCAGCAACTGATGGAAGGCCCTTGGAAGAGGAGAGTCAGAAAGCAAGTTTGGCCTCCCATAAACACTACAGGTTCTCCAACAAGGTGACCCATTTGGTACCTGATGAAGACCTTGGGGCTTCTTGTGGGTCTTCCTACAAACTGGTACGGAAGAGCAAGACTCACGATTGTGTGATGGGAGCAGAAAAGCCTGTAGGGAGGCTGGTCAATAGTATTAGCTTTTCTGGTCTGGGAAGTCACCCAGGAGCCCATGGTAGGAGAGCACCAGCAGGCAGCCCTAGCCCATCCAGTTGCAGTGGTCAGCAAATGATTGATTACCGTCACTTTGTGCCCCAAATGCCCTTTGTGCCAGCTGTGGCCAAGAGCATCCCCAGAAAGAGGATTTCTCTGAAGAGATCCAAGAAAGGGTTCCGGGATATATTCCACATTAAGAAGAACAAGTCAGAGAGTCTGGCTATGCTGATGGGGAAAGGCAAAAACTTGCCGTCTCCAGGAAGTGAGGGGGAAATACCTGGAAGGCTAGGCAAGTCCTTCTTCAAACCTGGGGAGACATTGGCTGCTGATAGTTTGGCTCAGGACTTGTCTGACAGTGAGATACAGTCAGATTCCTCCTATGACTACTGTGGGGCCTTGTGTGAAGATGTGGCTTCCCTTAAAAGCTTTGACTCTCTTACTGGCTGTGGGGAGATTTTTGCTGATGAGGTATCAGCCTCGCTGGAGCTGGAGGGCAGCCAGGAGATTTTGACCCAGCGGCCAAGAGCCAGAGAAAACACATCTGCCATGGGCTCTTTCCAGGGTGGGGTAGAACAGCTGGCCTCACCAGCTCAGAACGAGGCTACTGACTTTGCCAAGTTCTGGGACAATATCAATTGGTCAGTGAGGAGACACCAAAGTGCGTTGTTTGATCGCAAGATTGAGGGCTCCAAAGGCAGTGATGCTGGGAGGCCCCAATATGAGCCAGCTATGCTGCCTGATCTTCCACTGTCTCCTGGTGGTGACCCCGGGAGCTCCAAAGATAGCTCCATAGACACTGGAACTCCAAAGAGTGAGCTTCAGGAATCCACCTCCACCAGTGATGAAGGCTATTATGATTCTTTTTCCCCAGGCCTTGAGGAGGATGGAAAGGAGGACCAAAGTCCAGGAGCACCCAGTGGCCGGTTCCCTCGGGATAGCTATAGTGGTGATGCCCTTTATGAGCTCTTCTATGACCCCAACGACGCCAAGATCAGCCCCATCCTGGACGATGACCTGTGTGTGTCAGAGAGCCTTTCTGAGCAGGCAGTCGAAATTCCCCTGTCCATTTACAGTTTCCATGTAGGGGCTGAGGAGAACCTGGCTCCTCAGCCAGCCCTGGACATCATCAGCCAAAGCTTCCTGCACAGCACTTGGAAAGGGAAGGAGTGCCTCTTGAAGCTGTGTGACACAGAGCTCTCCCTCACTATGGGCATCATTAACTGGCTCCGCAGGAACCCAGAACTTGTTTCCCCCTCAGATCGGGTCCAGACTCTGCCGTCACCAATAAAGGAAAGTGGGGACCCTCCTGCCTGTTTGGGCCTCCCATTATGCCAAGAAGCAGAAGGAGCAACTATTACTATGGGATCTGGGAATGAGGGCTCAAGTGAGAAGGAAACTGACAACCTGGAACCACTGTCTCGCTCAGAGCAAGCGTCCAACAAGAGACATTTTAACCATGGGACAGTAGAAAAACATAGAGAAGTACCTCAAAGGGAAGATCGTTCCCCTAGCACCCCCAATGAGGGGTATAGATGGGCCTCAGATGTGTGTAGGTCCTGGTTGGCTAGTATGCCTCATCTATCAGCTGGTGGATGGCAGATGTACTTGCCTGAGAAGGATCTGGGTTCCAATGAGAGCAGGACTCTAGGTGAAGCCCCTTCAGCCAGTGGAGATCCATCGAAAGAGCTTCTGTCTCACCCTTCACAGGTATCCTCAGAGAAAGGAAAAGGTCAGTCTTCATCAGAAGCTTCCTCTCAGTCAGTAGAAGCAGAAGAAGCCACTCTGGCAGATACCTTGGATGAACACAAAGCCCCGACTCCGTCTTCCCGCCCCAGTGCCCACGAAAAGCCAAATCTTCCCTTAAGCCTAAAATGCTTCCAAAGCCAGACCAGCCCTGGCCTTAAGAGGGCTGAACCTGACATAATGCCAGTCCTGGAAAGCTGCATGACACAGGTGGCATCTCTGAAGATAAGCTATGAAAACAAACCCCTGGCTGAGTGGTGCCTCAGGAAGGAAGAGGGTAGCACTCTATGTAAGAGACAGAAGGTAGGGAGCCACTGTGTCTTGCTACAGAATGAGTGCAACTGTAACCCTGCCAGCTCTGGATATCCCCTTCTTCCTCCAACTGGGAAGCTTCAAGAAGTGCCCACGAGCCCAAACCAGGGACTAAGTCCCTGGCATAGTCAGAAAAGCCAAGCAAGTTTTTTAAACCACATGAGCCAAGTCTCGTCAAATAAGATCAACTTTGAATATGCTCAGTTGAACGGTCAAGCCCTTTCCTACATCCAGGACCTTCATCTCCAGCTCAATCCTGGAGACCCCTCTGTGGCTACACAAGAAGACCACCCAAAATTGATACCTCTCTTTGCCTCTAGTGACTCAGTAAGGCCAGGAGCCTTCCCTCAGGCCTCATGTGCAGGTAGCAGCTCCCCGAAAAGCTTGTGCCCTTGTTCAGACATAAATATTCCTGGTCCTACCTCTGGGAGCCCTCTGGAATGTCATCACAACCTTCTAGCCCATGTGGGGACCCTCCCCTGTCATCCTGAGGTGATGGCTGCAAGCCCGGCCATGACTGAGACCAACCTATAAGAGCCTCTCTAATGAAAGGAGGTGAGTTTTGGTAACTAAGTTAAGCAAGCAACCTAAAAATAATAAAGGAACCAATGGTTACTTTTGTCCCTTGTCTTTGAAGGCAGGGCTAGGCAGAAGAGGTGGCTGTCATTGCCTTGGGATGAGTGCAACAGTTGGGGAGTTTGCTGGGAACTTTTAAATGCATTGATTGGATGTACTTTCTCACGTGAAGACATTTTACAATGAGTTGGGAAGGAAACAAGTATTTTAAAAGGTACTTAGTATATGCTAGGCACAGTGTTTACAAATATTATCTTCTTTGATCCTCACAACAACCCTGTGAGGTAGGTGCTGTTATCACCCCCATTTTACAGATGAGGAAACTGAGGCAAATAGCAGTTGGACAACTTGCCCATTTGAGGGTGGGGAATATATTGAGTCATTATATGTGGTATGAGCCTTTGGTGGCAATTTTTGGGCACTAGCTGTCATATCTATCTTCTCTCAGTTGCTACCTTGCATCCCTGTGCAGTCGCCAGCAATCATGCAACAGTCCCCCCAAAACCAGGCCCTACATAATTGCCTCAGTTCACCATATATTAGTGTTGTACGTGTCTCTCCCTGACTGGCAGTGGTCAGGGCAGCATGTGAGCATTGAGCAAGAGGGGGTGGCATAAAAAGGACATGAACAGAGCACAGAAAAGAGAGGCTGGGACTGTTTAGAGACAAATTTCGTCAACTTTCCAGAGTCCTGGCCCTGCTTCAACATGTGAATTTGCAGAACAAATTCAGTTCAGATGATGTCATTGCAGACTACTGTTTGAAGGAAGCCAGATATAGAAACAGAGAAATGAGGGGGTGGTGCTTATTTGCATTTTAGCAGTGGCTTCATTATGTCAAAGCAGGGCTCCTTTTAACAGAACCCTCTTTAAAGCATTTTAAAACTTGCCTTTGAAGCAAGATTCAGATGACATGAAATGAGAATGCAGGTCAGCCTCACTCTGGGCAATAGGCACAAAAGCGAGACTAAAGCGAGACTTGACTGCATCCACTTAGGCTCCTCTGCGGTTGTCTGGAGCTGCCACCCTCAGTATACCAGCCCCAGCAGAGTGATGTGCTGTAAGAGGACATTGTTTGCCTTTAGACACTTACTACTGATTGGCCTCAACTCACAGCTGCCTCCCTGAATCCTGTAGGGTGCTTGGCATGATAGGGAACATCTGCTTAAGCACTGGTGGCAGGTGAGAGGGCATCCAAGCGAATCCATCTGAGGCCTAGGGGAAAGAGATGGAAATGGGGAGGGGCAGTGTGTACCCAGGAAACAGCTAAAGGAAATGGAGAACCAGCCAGTATGTGAGCAAAGGAGTGTCCTGTAGCCAGCAGCTCCTTTATCCTAGAGATCAGGAACCTATTCCAGGTAAGAAGATCTGGTATTAGTGCAGTTAGCAAAAGGTTAAAGGGCCCTAGTGGAAATGTTTGCACTTAAGATCATTAGATCATAGGATTTAACTTGAAGGGCTTGTTAAGATCATCCAGTCCAATCCTCACATTTTATAGATAAGAAAATCAAGAGAAGGAAAGTGACTTGCAAGAGCTGAGATTCAACCCAAGACACAGTGTCATAGTACCTAGCACACAGCTGATTAGCTGCTAGATTAATATATATTGAAGAGAATTGAATTTGAGAATCTCTTAAGACTCTCACATTGGTCAATGATGTGCCAGAGAGGTTGGCTGTGGTCTAACTAAATGGTAATGGCTCTGCCAGGTGGAATCTCTGGGTCTACAGGTTCTGAGCTACATTCTATACTTCATTGGATCTCAATGTCAGGATTCTTTGGTTTTACAATGAAAAGTATGGTCAATAGCAGGTCTGGCCCTATACATAGAAAGGAGAGATGGTTGCCTACCTGGTGTGATTTGAGGGACACCCAAAGACCTCCCGGTATCACGCAGGGTCAGCTGTTAGCAAAACTGTCATATGATAGAACCATAGATTTAGAAGGGAAGAGGGCTTGACTTTGACTCTGAATCCTGACTCTGACACTTGCTAGATGTGTCAATAAATCAAGTCCACAAGAATCGATCTCCGTCCTTGTCTCCCCACCCCCTCACTTTCCTTACTGTATCTTAGCTACTTCCTTGTCCCCTCCTTTGCCCGAACTTGGGAATTGTTGTTCTTGTTGTTTGATTGTTGTTGTTTGGTTGTTGCAGTCGTGTCTGACTATTTGTGACTCCATTTGGGATTTTCTTGGCAAAGATACTGGGGTGGTTTGCCATTTCCTTCTCCAGCTCATTTTACAGATGAGGAAATTGAGGCAAACAGGGTTAAGGGAGTTGCTCAGGGTCACACAACTTGTTAAGTGTCTGAGGCCCTATTCGAACTTAGGTCTTCCTGTGTTCTATCCACTCACCATCTACCTGCCCTGAACTTGGGAGGAGTAACAGTAATCTCTAGGATCTTAGTGTGAATAAGTTGATGGGGTTGATTTCCTAGGTATGTGGAGGAGGCCAGGGAGGCTTTGCCTGAGGCCACATAGTGCTTCTGCACCCCAGCCACCAGTACTCAAGCACATGCCCTGGGCCCTGCAGGATTCACTGCACCAGTAGCACATGACCTTGGCCCAGAAGACTTGGAATTTGAGGTTAACAATACAGAGTCAGCTCAAAAAGTTAGCAGAGCTTGTTTCATTTTTTGCTTCATATGCCCAGTATCTAGAACCGTGCCTTGCACACAAGGAAGCACTTGTTTGTTAAATTCAATTGAATCTAGTTCCTTCTTCTTGTCTACTGCTTTAAACTACAGCCTCTGTTGAGACCCTTCCAGAGACAGTGCTCATTGCTTCATGAAGAAGCCCCTTCTATTTTTGGACAGTTTTACTTGTTCTACAGTTTATTCTCATTGATTTGAAATCTGCCTCCCTTGAACTTCTACCCTTTGGACTTGGTTATGCCCTCTGGAGCCACATAACACATTTCACTGTATAATCATCACACCCAAAATTGGGTTATAACCTTTCACCACGTAATCATCGCATGGGTTAATTTTTTTCCTCACGCCACTTAAAAGGTAAACAGAGCAACAATGTATTCACCAGTGGCATATGGATATGCATTTATTTCTTGCACACTGTGACCTGAGAGCCTAGATTTCTCAACTCACATGCGATGTCAGTATATTTCCAAAAGCTGACTTGCATGTCTTGTTTAGAGCGCTGCAGTGCTAATGGTATTGTCACTCAAACCAATGAAGAGCTGTAGATAAAAGAGAGCAAGGTTATCTTTATGATGGGTGATGTAAATAGGTACAGGAAGGAACTACTCAAAATTCTCTCCAACTAACCCATCACTGGGCCATTAGAAATTCATTACTTTGGACTAAGGACTGGCCATTTAGGTTGTGGTATAATGGAAAGAGGGCTAGACTTTGAATCAGGAAACCTATCTAATGATACTAGTTTTTCCACTAAACTAGCGCGAGGCACTAAGTCTTTTAATCTTTCTTGGCCTAAGTCTTGACTGTGAAATGAGATTGTTGGATCACATGATCTTTCAGGTTTCTACTAGCTCTGCTGCTCTATCTAGGATTTTTTTTTTTAAAGAGGTAGTATATTAAGTTCCTAACAGCTTGTTGTCATTTGTCCTTCATTCTCTAAAGAGGACCAATGACATCAGGAGCATGATGTCTTGATTTGTAACTGAATTGGATTTTAAGTGAGGCAGGGCTGTGCAAAGTCATCGACCTCACTCTCTCCTCCATGATTATCTGAGTCTAGTGGCAAGACATGGTCAGGATGACTGGAGACAATCCCACACGCAGTGGGATACCTTGGCTTTTTTAAGCTAAGGTCTTTCCCAGGTCTCAGCTTATCTGAAACAACACCCATTCAGTGATTTAAGGATAGGTAAGAAATGAGGCAAAAGATGGCTTAGTTTGCCTACTCAAAGGGAAAAAAAAATCAATCTGGGAGAGGAAGACCCTCAGGGTTTCTAGCCAGAACAGAAACAATTGCTATTTACATTCACTAGGAGCCATCAAAACCCAATGACCTAGTGAGGCTTGAGCTGAGACATATTATTGGTCAATCAGTGAGAGCCAGAGTGATTTGGGTTTAAGGCATGGTCAAGTAGCTCCACTTGAATCCTAATGGACTTTATCAAAACCTGGTTTTCCAAGGCTCTATTTCAAAAAATAATAAATGAAATCACATGGGACAAAAGAGTTAATTGTCCCATATTTTAAAAAAATGATAGAATAAGTAGGGAAGAAAAAATCTAGCCACCAAATCCCTCTTGTGAGGTTTTTGTGATCAAAATTTATATTCCTTTGAGCAGAGCACTCACATGTAAGGGTAGGTGGTGCAGTAGATAGAGCACCAGGCCTGGAATCAGGAAGATCTGAGTTCAAATCTGGCCTCAAACATTTACTAGCTGTGTGACCCTGGGCAAGTCACTTCACCCTGTTTGTCTCAGTTCCTCATCTATTTGCCCCAATAAAATGAACTGGAGAAGGAAATAGCAAACTACTCCAGTATTTCTTACAAGAAAACCCCAAATGGGGTAACAAAGAGACGGCACAAGTAAACAACAAGTCCCTAACAACACAGTGTAAATGAATATATGAGTGGCTCCTTAGCTGACAGGAAGGATGGGGTGAGACAATAGGAAGGCTCTGGAGCCATAGGCAGGAAAGCCACTGGACAGCAGAAGGCAGGGAAGACCTGAAAGGGCGCTCAAAAATTAGACGTTGGAAACACTGATGCTAAAAGTGTCCAATTTTGCACTTTGGACCAGGGTTGGCCCTGATTTCATCCTTTGAGTTTAAGAAGCCACAGGTGGATTTCCTGTGAAGAACAGCTTTATGTGGGAAAAAAGGGGGCTTGGAAGGGACAGATTGTATTGCCTTTGCTCATAGAGGCCAATGTTAGACAACATCCTCCCAGATGCAAGGTCTGGATGCTAAATTAAACAATTTTCTTCTTCATTTAACACAGTTCCTGAGGACTCAGGATGATGTT